TAGGCACTGTCACAAATACCTTTGTTCGGCAAATTTGTGCAGGCACAAGCTTCTTCAGTAGGAATCCACACGACTGGGAATTGTGTGTGAGGACGAAATATTTCCCCACGCCGATTTCACAACTGGTTCAGGTTGAACTGGTTCAAGTTGGTAACTCAATTCACCGCACTGAAGAATTGATGTATCGCTACTAAACTTCACAAAATTTCGATAATGCACTTTAAAGCACAGCTCACACAAAAGTCACTTTCAACACAAACAGCTTTATTTTGGTCAGCACTGCGAATCCGTGTGACAAACTTGAATATGAGCAAATCTGCATGGGAAACTTTTTCGCCCACACGCAAAACTCCAAGTCGAGTGAATTCATATGAATATGACTGGATTTCACCTGCAAGATTTTGCTGAGCAAATGTGACGGGAAAATAGTAAAAATAGCATTATCGATTTCCAAATCAGCGTTCCAACTTTTCACAATTCGTATAACACTTGCTTGTGTTTTCTGATCCAGACAGGCTGTTAGTCTGTTCAGTAGTGGCGATTTTTCAGTGACTTTCTGTTGTTACATCGTTACATCAGTAGGTGGCGACAAGTGACTGTTTATTGAATCATTCACTCAACCGGTTTGCTGATTAGTTAAAGGGGTCATATGATGCTGCTAAAAAGAACAGTATTTTGTGTAATGAAATGCGTTTATGCGGTTTAAAGTAAAAAAAAACTTTTTTTCCACATACTGTACATTATTGTTTCTCCTCTATGCCCCGCCTTTCTGAAACGTGTCTATTTTTACAAAGCTCATCGGTCTGAAAAAGCGAGGTGTGCTGTGATTGGCCAGCTATCCAGTGCGTTGTGATTGGCCGAATACCTCAAGCGTGTGACGGCAGTGAGCCGAGGCCGAGGGATAAAGTGAGGAACGGCCGGAGGGCTTGAGTGAGCAGAGGTGGTGGGCTTGAGAAAGGCGCGGCCGGCGATTTCGACGAAGGAGCGTCCGGAAGGACATGTGATGACCCTGGGCTGGACTCTGCTTTGTCCACGGTGAAAACCGATCCGGTGATCCCAAGCGTTACAATATCCCTGAATGAATGCTTTCAGTTTTAGCAGCTACACATCCCACATCAACAATATTTACAGATGATCACATTTGACTCTTTAAGAATGGGGATTGCACATTTTTTTGTTTTTGGATTTTGTTCCCGACAAGAATAATGTTAACAATCACATTAATAATAATAATAATATCATCATCATTATAATGTAGCGTAAGATTTTCTGTGCAATTTTGGAGGTGGCGGTTTATATGGAAAAAAAACCCCGAAAATGTAAAATATAGCAACGTAAACCATCACGGCAATGCTTTATAAATACGAATGTCAGTTAATTGCAGTGCTCAGATGAATGAATCCATCATTGCACACGGTTGATTTTCCACCATCACTACATGGGAAGTTCCAGATAGACCCTTACATATACCATATGCGTTCATTTGAATTACCTGAACATGAACTAAAGCGGTGATTCAGCGCGTCTCTGAGTGGGAGTGAGAGAAAAGACCGGAATATTTCAATGGCTCACAAAAGTAGCGCGTGGGCGCTCGATCGAGTGCTGGAGCGGGCAGAGCGCGCATGTAAAGGGGGGCGTGTGTTTATGTAAAGGGGTGATGGGAACCTTGAACTCCACTCCATCACAGGAGTCCTTACAATATCCCTGAATGAATGCTTTCAGTTTTAGCAGCTACACATCCCACATCAACAATATTTACAGATGATCACATTTGACTCTTTAAGAATGGGGATTGCTCATTTTTTTGTTTTTGGATTTTGTTCCCGACAAGAATAATGTTAACAATCACATTAATAATAATAATAATATCATCATCATTATAATGTAGCGTAAGATTTTCTGTGCAATTTTGGAGGTGGCGGTTTATATGGAAAAAAACCCCCGAAAATATAAAATATAGCAACGTAAACCATCACGGCAATGCTTTATAAATACGAAATATTGATTTTCCACCATCACTACATGGGAAGTTCCAGATAGACCCTTACATATACCATATGCGTTCATTTGAATTACCTGAACATGAACTAAAGCGGTGATTCAGCGCGTCTCTGAGTGGGAGTGAGAGAAAAGACCGGAATATTTCAATGGCTCACAAAAGTAGCGCGTGGGCGCTCGATCGAGTGCTGGAGCGGGCAGAGCGCGCATGTAAAGGGGGGCGTGTGTTTATGTAAAGGGGTGATGGGAACCTTGAACTCCTCACCGCGAGCAGCGCTGAGTGCGTAGTGTGCGCGGGCGGCGGTATCAGAGTCATTATGTGTATGTGTGTGTGTGTGTGTGTGTGTGTGTGTGTGTGTGTGTGTGTGTGTGTGTGTTGTCCCACTTAAGCATCGTGAAACCACTGGCAGTTCATTCATTTAAGCGTAACTGTCTTTTCGCAACTGATGCATGCATATGAACAGGTAAACACTGTAAACCCTGGAACAGAAGAACGAGAACATTCAATTAAACTGAACGATTTGCACATTTCACAGGATACGTTTGCCTTGCGGTAATGACAGAATGAGAGAAATTTGAGCAACTGGTTTTCTCTAAAGCTTCGACTAGCGATGTCAGATTCGTAAACGAATGATTCTTTCAAATCGAATACTTTTCAGTGAGTTAAACTGGTTCATAAAACGAGTCTAAACGAATCGCACTGAATCGGTCCGAATCAACCGGCTTCTTAATGAGCCGAGAACCAATGATGAGTTATGAGGATTTGACTTTGTTTTAATAAATTGCGTTTTTAATATAACGTCATTTTTCAGCCGTAGGCTAAAGTAAATAATATTGTTAAATATAAGTTCTAAATGATTTTGTTTTGCAGTGCAAATCATGGGAGAAAGAAACTGAACACATGAAATTACAATAAACACCCGAGGAATGGCTTATATAATCCTACCCCATAAATCCCAGTGTTTTGCTTCATTTAGGCTACACTGACAATCTATGCATTGATATTTTAAAAAATGAAAAGGAGTCACCACATCAACCTGAAAAATGTGAAATCTTATTTGCAGGATATACTTAAAAGAAATATACCATAGAGAAATAATGGCATGAGAGAAAGTCGTAATGTTGTTAACTGATTGACTACTAATATTTAGAAGACATCGACTGTCACACGGGGAAGGTCAAATTCGGGATATTTTCAAGTTACACACATACAGTTGGTTTGAAACTAACTCAAAACATTTTATTTTAGCTGAAAAGCCTTTAATAGACAGATTTCCCCTTACACCATATAATGGGCGAAATTCAACGTGTTTATTCAACTCGATCTTTTTACTTTGGCAATAGCATTGGAAATGTTCAGTGTCCAAGGCTTCAAGGCATGTGCCTTCACAGAAGTTAATTTATTCAGTATCCCCACCCAGAAAAATATTCACTGGAGTAAAGAGTGTGACAACTAGCCCACAATCCTCTTGGGGTGGGTGAATTATGAGCTGACTCGCAGATCTCTAAGTATTGAGAATGACTTGTTCTGTAAAACATTTTAATGCACAAAAATATTACATATTTTATATGATGTTAAATGCATGTATAAACACAAATACCAAATTCTGTGCAATTATCACTTATGTTGGAATCACAGCAGATCCCATATAATGACCAGACTGATCGCAGTCACAAAGTGGAACAATTGATCACATTCACCCTGCAATAGATCTGAATATCAACTTTAAAGTGTTATATGACCAAAATAAGAATGATAGCTGCAGAGGGACTGAACTTTAAGCACATAAAATATGATTCATAGATGTGATTCAGCAGTCTCTAAGGTATACTTGCTTAAAACTGTCACTGTAACAGATTGAGGCTGAAATTTCACAGGGACATGCCTGGACAGAACTAATGTACCAGACTTCTGTATCATAATGTGTGAAAAGTTGTTTTGCTCATGTGTTAGATCATTTAAGATCACGTGAATTTTGGGCATGATTTCTTATCACAGATAAATTAAAACCATAATCAAACTATTCATTAGCTTCCCCCCCCCACCCAAATTTCAATGTAATTTAAGAGCATATGCAGAAAAACTCAATAATCACTGACAAAATAAAACACTTCTGACGAAGATAAAAGGTTTGTAGTGTATGACACATTTATAGCTACTTTGTTCAACTTTAGATGTATATACACGGTATATCATTTCATTCTGAAAACAATAGACACAATCCCTCTAAAATCATAGGAGCACATTGTCTACATATCAGTAGACAAGCAGTTGAGTAAAAGTGCACATGGGTTTAGAAGGATCTGAAAAATATTATGGCATTCCATCAATACTGACTAATGACTTAAAAAAATGACAACATTATTGGAGACAATCCATCTGCGCCACCACACATCCACCACATTCACACACATTTATGTACACAAGCACCAACACAACACATGTTTCTCTCTCTCTCGTACACCAAATGTAAAATAATCGGGCAGACAGAAATACAACGAGAGCTTATACACACAGTGGCAGAACTGAGCATAGTCTCTCTCCCAGTCATCTTTAAAATATTTCAAATATCCCGCACTGGATTTGTGGCCCAGAACACCTTGGTCACATTGCGCAGTGTCTTGAGATTCACCATCATCTCACACCGTCAAAAAAAAAAAAACAGTGAGTGACAGCTCCTCAGAATACGCCACATTTTCACATCTCCTTGATGTGCAGCGCAGGCATTTGTGTCTATCGTTCCTTGAAATGTTTTGTTTACTCTCCCCACAAGAAATTCTCATGGCATGCGGATGACTCAAATGTGCCATGAATCGAATCCTTCAAGGCTGCTTCGCAGTCTAGTCGAGGAGAAAACCTGGGCCAGGTCCTAAAATGGGCTCTATAGGCCTAATAGAAAGCAGACAAATTCAGTCTGTCAGTTAATTTCCTTTTTTTCCACTCCTGTTAAATAAATAGTAGAAAAATAATCTTTTCATCTTCATTGTTTCTTGGGAAAAAAAAAAAACATAAGGAGCTTTGTATTGTATGCATCTGCCAAATGCACTCCTTAATGACCTCTACAGAGGTCAAATGTTCGCCCCCATGGTCGACATGCACACAACACCTCTGACCGCCATCAGCAGATGCCTAGGGAGAGTTGGGAGTTAAGGTTCTCTCCTTGGTTTTGGAGGATGCAGGGCCTGAATGGAGGAGGTGGCTGAAGTTAGAAGTGGCATCAAAGGCAGGGTTGGCGGTTGGTTTGGGGTCAGGGGTGGGCAGGATCAGCACTCGGCATCCACACTGTGCACGGTGACGGCAGCCTGGAGATGATGCGTGTGCAAGTGCAGGGGGTGGTGTGTGTGGGGGTGCCGATAGGGGTGGAACTTGTGGCTGAGAAGAGCAGCTGTCTGTGGAGGTGTGTCCAGGTCGAGGTCCTCGTCATGATTGCCCACATCAACGCCCGCAGACAGAGGATCATTGTTGCAGGGCGGGTTCTCGCTGTCCTCCTGAGGGCTCATGGTGCTGTAACCTACATATAAATAGACAAGGAATCCCAATCAATATTTTCGGAATTTATCATTTAATTTAATTATACAGTATAAATTAACTGTGAATCTTAAATGTTCTACGAGTGTATCTAACAGCTTTTTGTATCTCTAAAACAACAGCTGAAGAGAAATTTTAAACTGAGAATGGAAATTTGAACCTAGTTATATCTCTGTCATTTTGTAATAATCGCTTATGGAAACTAGTTACAAACATGATAATTTAAGTTGATCATTAAACTAATCATCCTAATGAATCCTAATCCATTCTAATCTCACACTCCTCACATAAAACCCAAAGATATTAAAGGAACATATTAATCTCATTTTGTACTTATCTGACAAACTCGTGATAGCATAATGTGACATGACGCTAAGCAGTAAGAGCAGTTTTGAATTGCAATAAAACTATTTGACCATTTCTAAAGAAAATATATTGTGTGGGGGAAAAAAGTACATTTTATATATATATATATATACAGTGGGTACGGAAAGTATTCAGACCCCCTTAAATTTTTCACTCTTTGTTATATTGCAGCCATTTGCTAAAATCATTTAAGTTCATTTTTTTCCCTCATTAATGTACACACAGCACCCCATATTGACAGAAAAACACAGAATTGTTGACATTTTTGCAGATTTATTAAAAAAACGAGTGTATCTAACAGTTTTTTGTATCTCTAAAACAACAGCTGAAGAGAAATTTTAAACTGAGAATGGAAATTTGAACCTAGCTATATCTCTGTCATTTTGTAATAATCGCTTATGGAAACTAGTTACAAACATGATAATTTAAATTGCTCATTAAACTAATCATCCTAATGAATCCTAATCCATTCTAATCTCACACTCCTCACATAAAACCCAAAGATATTAAAGGAACATATTAATCTCATTTTGTACTTATCTGAAACACACACACATATATATATATATACAGTATATTCAAAATATAGTAAAAACAGTTTAAAAATGTAGCATAACTGTTTTTATTTTAATACATTTTAAAATGTAATTTATTCCTATGATAGAAAAGCTGAATTTTCAGCAACCATTACTCAATTATTCAGTGTTAAATGTTCCTTCAGAAATCATTCTAATATGCTGCTTTAGTATTCAAGAAAGATTTTTATATCACAGTTGAAAAAAAAAATCTAAATTCATAAAGTCTTTACTCTCAGTTTAGATCAATTTACTGCATCCTTGCCAAATAAAGTATTCATTTAAGAAAAAAATCTTACTGCACACAAACTTTTTAACAGCAGTGTACAGAATCCTAATAAAAACATAATATGTAAATATATTGAAAATAATACAGATCAGGGATACAAATAAAAATGTTATAATCAGTGCAATGCAAAATTATAATTAAAAAAACAGCTATTTGTTATAAATGTATTCATATAGTAGCAGTAATGATTATAATAATTATGAAGTTGTGGTGCAGAGGAATGGCAATAGTGCAAAGTAGTGTTCATATTATCAGTTTGTCTCATTGCAACAGTTCTGGATTGGGGAACAATGCCTTGACACCTACTTCCAACTACACCTATTATACAGTTTTAAACATACAGACTTTATATTGAGTCTACATAGAATATTTCTACTTTCAAAACTGGATGCCTCAACCTGAAAAGAAAAAAAAAGTGATTTAAAAATTTCGTTAAATGTTGATGAGTTATCATCTGAAACATACACCTTCCTTTATACATAAATTTGAGCTTAAAATCTTGTTGAAAGAAGAAGCTGATGTCAATGTTATTGTTATCTACCCAAATCTATTTTCCCGTCAAACTGCTGATGTTCCTGTTTAGACAACAATACAAAAGACACATGAAGTAGCTGAAGTGAATAATAGATTAGACAGTTGCTAACAACTAAACTTGTACAGTGGGAGAGGAGCTCACAATGCATACAAAAAAACAAACAGTTGGAAACTTAACATAATAACAGTCACAGCACATTCTGAATTAAATTAAGGCCCAATACAGAGAGCACAAAAAAGGTCTTGTCCTGCTGTCAGATGGCCAAACGTTCAGCCACATGTGACATCTGAAATGGGGTCTGAGGTGAAAAGAAAGGTCAAAAACCTCTTATGATCCTGACTTTGATCAATGTTTGCATGAGCCATCTCAGAACAGATCTGGAATCAGCTTTGAAACTCTTCAGTGAGAATGAAAGAGCTGGGATACCAATTCTGGATCAGGATCTATCCCTAAACATATCAAAGAGCCAAGCAATCAAACAAGTACTAAAAAGCATCCCAGTTCCTGGCAGAAAACACATTTCTGTTTAGAGAAATTTAAACCTCGATCTGAAGCGAATACTCCTATATCTACGTTGCTCCTGGCGAAAAATCTCTGTGTTGGTGGAGCGGTAATGAGTCAGAGCGCACAGGAAAAGGTTTCGGTGCTGTTCTCCTGCATACACACGCTCAAAAGCCAAATCGATATTGCTTTAAAACGACCCCTTAAGCTGGATGACTGAGCAGCCAGTGGGAGGCGAACTTTAACCCTGCCAAATAAAAATACAGGGAATAAACTTTTTGTACTTGGTCTTTGCCACCTCTAACTGTTCTCGCATCTCTCAATCTACCCACTTTGCTGGCTTTCTTCCTCCAGGTCTTTTGCACTTTTGTCATTGCACCTCTCCTTGTGGAATAGGGCTGCCCTTTCTCCTCTTGCTGGTTACACAATGATCTCCAGAAAGCCTCGTCCCTGAGGGGCGGCAGATTTAGCATGCACTGAAGACTCCATGTAACCCAAGACTGGAGCCGCCAATGAAATAGAGGCCGAACACAAGCATACACTGAACACCCTGGCTTTGCTTTATTTCAATAATAAAACTCTCACTATATTCTTAGGTGAGAAATTTGATGGTCACGCCTTTGAATTTTTCTTTGACCCTTATTTCAAAAGGATCTTTTCAGACTTACTAATATCGTTTTTCCTTTAGACTTTAAAGAAGGAGTGCACATACACGCTCTTACCATGGTCACTTTCGGTCCCTGACCGCCCCCAGTATCTCCGTCGTCGTTCTGGACTGTGTGTGCGCCTCTCAATAACAGCAGCAATGAATCGAGTGTTACTAACTGCAGAGAGAGAGAGAGAAACAGAGCCAAATGGTCATATAACAATAAAACACTTGGGTCTCCAGCTGGCCAGCATAGTGTACGAGTACAGCAAATTTAAAAGGCAATAACATACTTGTAGATACTTCTCATATAAAAGGTTACACTGGAGATGAACTCAGTAAACAATGAGGAAAAATACAAAAAGATGTCTTACAAAAGATTTTCAAAAATGTGTGTATATATGTATGTTAATTGCATAACTTCCTGGGACCCAGGCATTTACTTCTGTCCTCTATAGAAGACATTATATTTTAGCAGTTTTCTGAGACCATACATGCCACATTTTGGACTCTGGATGTCCTGTACAGAGCACATTCAGGGATTTTCAGAGATAACAATTGTTTGGAGGTTTGATCATTAACACATCCTCCCCCTGGTCTTTAAAAATGTCTGATATTGACCGAATGATCAAATTTAGCACTCTCATGGAAATATGACAATATTTTGCAACTATCATTTAAATCTGACTAATTTTCAAAGTGTTTGCCATGAACGAACATCTCAGGACAACTTTAGTGGGGTTTCAAAGCAGAATATGACATGCATCAGTTTCATACATGTCCACTGTAGTGGACACCAGGATATACTTATCAGGCATTTTAGGGAGACATAATAAGTGAATAGGGAAAGAAATTGTATATCAATAGCTCTATGAAATATGAGATGTTATGCGAAAAGTTTATTACTCTCATTATTATGCTTCTTTTTTTTCATTGCACGTTGCCCAAAGATCACATTAATATGCAAATTAAAGACAATTAATAGATACATTGATTATAATAGGAAACACAATTTTTGGCCATGTTTATGCACATATTGTGTAAACTATAAATCATCAAAATCATTCTCTAATATCTTTCATACCATAGTTGAGAATCTTTGTAACATAAATATTGTAGTAAAATATAAATATCGTCTAAATATCTTTTACCAACAAAAAACAAAAACATTGTTCTGGTAATACATAAGGAATATCATATCATATCATATACAGTGGATACGGAAAGTATTCAGACCCCCTTAAATGTTTCACTCTTTGTTATATTGCAGCCATTTGCTAAAATCATTTAAGTTATTTTTTTTTCCTCATTAATGTACACACAGCACCCCATATTGACAGAAAAACACAGAATTGTTGAAATTTTTTTGCAAAATCTTTGTTAATTTATACATATTTTGATGTATTTTTACATTTACAGTTGTATAAATTAATATTAATGTATACTGAACAAACATGGTTTAACATTGAAAAATAATTAATTTATAAAATGAACAACTGCTATAAAATGTTGTTTATTGTTTGTTCAAGATCTCTGTATGGAATGGAACCATATTTTAATAATTTAAATTATAAGTCTCTGAGTCAGAGGTCAGCAAACTGTTACCAAACAATTTTAGATTTTGCCTTCGAGAAAACTTTTTGGATCCTGTTTAAGGGTTGCATTCGAGCTTCAATTAATAGAAATATTTTGGGTTCAGTTACCAAAGTTGAGCTCAAACAGCACCATTTTTGGCATAAGATTGATTACAACAGCAAATTATTTTTCTTGTACCCAAGTTCATAAAATTAAAATAAATGCAGTAACTGTTATGCACTTACAATGGTAGTCAATTGGACAAGCGACCATTGTAAGTACATTTCTGAATGTTTTGTCTGTTTTTAAAAACGGAGTCGATAGTAGGAGTACAGTATTTACATTTTTCCACATTTCCAATTCTTTGCTCTGCACTGATAATCAGTATTATATACATACTGACTGTTATTCATTTAGATTTCTTACAGTTATGCATGATGTTTCATAAAGTATGTTTCTTACAGTTATGCATAGCACAAAATCTAATTAAAACAACTTTGTGATGTAAATCAGATGCTTCTGATTATAAAATGTACAACGGAACAAGAATGCCGATCAGGAACACATTATCATATTGTCACTAAAGATGAGACCAATTACGACATCAGACTAACCCACATGGCTGTTTGAAGCAATTATCACACAAGAATGACACAGTACCATTGTGAGCATGAATGCTCGCTTTTTACTCTAGGTAGGAGAATAAAACAGCAAACCGTACACAAAGAATTCACGGATTATCACCCATTTGGTGTCTGATGCACTAAATCAGTGAAAAACAGCATTAATGGTACAAAGTATAATACTGCAGATTTTATGTGCAAAAAAACCCTCAGTGTAATTACTAATGCTGAAATGGGCATTAAAGGTTTTCTGTGTTAATTAGTGTGAAGCTGTGCCAGGCAGGCAGGCGGGTATCTTACTTATTCCTCTGTCTTCGTGACTGTCTTCATCTCTGTCATCTCGCTCGTTGTCCAAGTTGGACATCCTGACAGACATCTCTGATGAAAGAGAGAGACAGAAAGACAGGCATAAGAGAAGATTAGAAAGATGGAGCAACACTGAACAGATTTGATGTAATATGTCTTTGTCTTCTCCTTTGGTCCTAAGTCTTTCTCATAAAAAAAGAAGGCAGACATCAAATCTCTTCAAATCAATTTTTGCTCACGAATGCCCATCAGACATTAAAAAAACTGAAGAAAGCCAATTCAAGGGAATATAGCATTCAAATCTATTCATTTCTAGAATGCAGATTCTGCAAGTCTATTCATTTCTAGAATGCAGATTCTGCAGATGTAACTACAAAACAGAAAACCGCAGCACTTCTCACAGACTGATTCAGACAGATTTATATTGCATGCAAGCTATGCTTCCAAGTCGTGCATATATAGAGGTTGAATTTAGCTTAGACATGAGGGAGCAACTGCAAGGGAAGAGAGAATTCAGCTCTTTAAATTACTTTTATATCCTTCTAAGGTCCTTTTAGCGGTCAACTGTGCTTTAGTATCTCATTAGCAAGGAGTAGCACACTTTAAATGTGCACTCAATAATTTTTCCCTCATTAAAGTGACTTTTACTTGCTCTTCCTCTGAAACAACTTTCCTTTTCAGGTTGACGTCACCAGACTCTTTGTCAGAGATCACTTGGGCTGCTTGATTATGGCAAAATTCATAATCACAATTATTTTGGTCAAGATTGTTATCACAATTAACTCAATTTGATATCACACACCTTCAGAGTGTGTTTTTTTCATGATAGAGCTATAGTTATTAAGTATATTTGCTGGAAATAAGGCTGCTATGATATCAAAATTTAGATACCAATGAAATTTCACAATTCTTGATATCAATTTTTGATAAACATACACACATACATATATATATATATATATATATAAACACTGAAACAGTGTGGAAATGTTATATGCAATACAAAATTTTTACATTTATAATTTAAATAATAGAACTATTATTTTTGAGTGTACTTTATATATTTTATTTGCATAATTGATCATTTATACCAGGGATCCTCAAATCTGGCCCACGAGATTCACTTTCCTGCAGAGTTTAGCTTTAACCCTAATCAAACACACCTGAGCATGCTAATCAGTGTCTTCAGGATCATTGGAAAATCACAGGTAGGTGAGTTTGATCAGGGTTGGAGCTAAACTCTGCAGCGCATTGGCCTTCTAGGTTAAGCCAGGATTAGGCCATAGTTTAATTAGGACATTTAAGTATCTTTTATAAACGTGCCTTAGAAAATAACATTACATCTTGAGACAAAACAATGGCACTGACATATTTTAAGAGATGTCAGTGCAAGTTTCTTTCAGGTAAAAGCCCAGACACACATTTTAATCTTGGACTAAGCCTTGTCTGTGAAACCGGGTGAAAATATTTTAAAATAGAAAAAGAAAAAAAAAAGTATAGTAAAAAATAATTCACAATACTACTGTTTTTTTTTTATATTTAAATAAATAAATAAATAAGACATTTAAAGACCTTACCAACCCCTAACTTTTGAACAGTTGTGTAAATAATTTAATATAGCTATGCCTTAATATTTACATAAATGAATAGACCGCGAATACAGAATGTTATTAGAAGAGTTGTGCAGAGAGTACACATTACCTGTGGCAGTTAAGACAGAGACGATCCACAGTACTGCAAGCACAGAAGGCCAGTGAATCACAGGTCTCATTCACAATACCAGCAAACGCATTGGTTCCTGGGATACGAGTGAGCCGGTACTTTGAGCAGTGACTGCCATGCACAAGGTTTGTCAGATCACCCTGAAAAATGACAAAGACACAGTTAGCCATAAACCATCATTTGATTTCATAACAGTCTTTCCACAACAGCTGGTTATACTAGAAAGCACATCTGCTATTACCACTATTTAAATAAACTCCACTAGGTGGCATCCTAACATCATTAATACATGATGCTGACTAACCTTGCATGGTAAAAAAAAAAAAGCAGGATTATCACTTCAAACAGAATTCACAGTTGTCTGATATGAACTAATTCATATGAGACTCCACTCACCACAATGCTGGTGTTGAACTTGTAGAAGCGCTGCACAGTACGATCACTGAAACTATTACACAGGTTCTTCTTCACAAAGTTGGGATGGTTGAGAATGTCATTGGCCACTAGAGGCTCCTAAAGTCAAGCAAAACAGGAGAAAACGATGAACTCAATAAGTTTGTTTTTCAGTTTCATTACCAATCTTTTAATATAACATGGCTAAAGAATATAAGCACGCCCCTTTTTTCTAAGGACAAAAGCATAAAAATGCCTAGTTTCTTGTTCAAGAGCGGTAAAGTTCCTTACCTTATGAGTAATATGTTGCTGTTCTGCTGGAGCGTGGCCCTTCGGGTCAATCAGAGTCGGATGGGCCACCAGATAGCCTCTGTCCTCCATGATAAAACACCTACACATACATAAAGACCAAGACCATCAGGATCAAGCACTCTGAGCCTGTACAAAGATCCAAAATGACATTTAGAGGGGAAAGGTGGAAGCAAACAGTAGATGGCTTCCTGTATGTTCACAGGGTACCATCTGCAGTTCAGAACAGTTCAGGTTATTGTGTGGCACACTGAAGCATTCCACGTCACTAATCCTGTTTAATGACCATAGCACTGCAAACTCAAAGAACACTGAGGCCTCCACAGCACAGACAGATAAAGAGACAGAGAGAGCGTGAAGAGGGACAAAGAAAGAGACAAACTGGTAGAAATAAAGTTAAGAAGAAAGAAAAAGAGAGGAATGACAGGGAAGGGTAAAAGAGAGACAGAAAAGAAGGGAGTGAGGGAAAAATGGGGGCACTGGCACCTAACATAACAGGATGTCTCTGGAATGCAGCCCTAATCAGCTTATCTCCCTTTGTGTCTTTCAGTCAGTCCTGAAAATCGTTTATAGATTGCATCAGTAGGGTTTATTTGTGCTGCTTGCAAAGGCAAGCATTACTACTGCTTATTATTAAGGATGTTGTGCTACAGACATGCATGATACAGCAAATTGCATGGCTTATTGAGGAGAAGTGTGCTATTACTATTCTAAACAAAGTTACAAATTTCACACTAGGGCCTTAGTGACTACTAGTTACTGGACTATTTAGTGACTACAAATTTAGATTTCTATTTATATATGATACAAAAATAAGCATGAAAATCCATTATACTTGTTAAAGTCTAAATCAGTGGCTATCTACCTTTTTGATTGCAAGACTCCAACTGTCCCCAACAGTACTTCATTTACAAAAATTAGGTGTAAAAAAGTTACTAAATTATAATTACAATAATAAAAATAAATGAAAAAAAATTACATTGTGTAATTCCAAAAGTTTTATTTATTTTGTAAGTATTTTTGTTGATTTTTAGTCGTTTTATATTCAGGAACAGCATCTAAAATTAGAAGGGGAAATAAATATTAATGGAACAAACTGGAAAATTTGTTTTCATTTATATTTTTTGTTAAACCTTGGCATGAACGCACACTGTGCTTAAAAGCTTAAGTTGTTGTTTATGTTGTAGCATCATCAGAAGTTGTTTATCATGATGTAATCCTTCTGCCATTTTTTTCCAACCATTCTTCCTGGTCAGAGGTTCCCATAAATATATGTTTACACACAGTTTAATGGTGTTGTGCTCAAATATTTTAGTAGTGTATAAAATTTTAACTTTGTGCTCATTTACTCTACATGGCTAAAAAATAAAATTAGGCTTGTGACTTCAGCTTAAGCTGGTTCTCTGAATATCATAAGCAACCACCTAGTGATTAGAAAATCTTGACAACTGCAACAACACCCTAGTATCATTGCAGTGACTTTTGCAGAGGCAAGCGCCACTCAATTTTAATTAATTTTTTGAAAAATTAATAAATAAATCAAATAAGTTTTCCAGTTTTTATACTTTTCCCTTCTCATCTCTCCTCTCTCTCTACGTCCAGCCCTCCCTCACTGTTTCTTGATCCCCACCTCAGATCGTTCTCATTCTATCTCCTATCCTAAAAGAGGGAGCTTAGAAGCATGCAGAGAAGACTAAGTGAATGCCTCTTTTCCAACAGAAGCAAATCTGATTAGTTTCATTTGAAAGAGCTTTAAAGAGCCTCTGTGGGGCATCGATAGCTTCAGGCACTATGCTGGACACCACAGCCGGCACACTGGGGTCTTGGCAAACACTAGAGAGTTTGAGAAGAAATGAGATGGGGGTTGTGTTTGGTGGGAAGACCTTACCGGATTTTGTTGCCCTTGTCCTGGTTGCAGATGGGCAGAAGATCCAACAGAACTTTGTAGAAGTAGCGCAGAGTGAAGTCTATGCCCATAACCGCTACTGTGTAACCGGAGGCCTTTTGGGAACTGGGAAAGGAGGCAGATAAGTGTGTTGAACAATATGAAGAATGAGGAGATCTACAATGTGATGGGTCACCGCAATGGAGCTTTAGATCAGATCGCACACTCCATAGTCACATTTCCTCCTCTTAAGAGAGAACTGATTGGAAAACGTGGAGGGCAAACACTCTTTATCTACACCAGACATTTTGGAACACTGCCAGTTTCAAACAGCTTTCTCATACTATATAGTAAGGTGCTTTTTATTCATTTTAGGAGCTTGACAGTATAAAGCATTGGCCATTTCATCAGAGAAAAGAAAAGATCTTGAGAGTGAGTAATATTTTCATGTTATGGTTGACCTATTTATTTAATACGCTATATTTAAGTTATTTATGTTATCGTTTTTAAAGACTGATCCATGCAAGCATAAAAAACTGTGTCTGACTGAGCAAAAATAAATTAATATCCACACTATAAAAGCTTTAACGCATAGCAAATGATGTGTCTAAACCAGCTTTTTGACTCCCGTGTCTCCACTATTCTTACATAATTATGACAAAACTGCTTGTTTGAAATATTTTCTTATTAACAGAAACAGGGAGTATACAGATACATATACAGATATATATATATAAAATTAATTAACCACAATACATTTTGTGATTCCACATTTTCATTAAGTGTTAGAACATTTCTAATATATTAATAATAATGTATTACTTAAATTAATTATCCTGTGGAAGCTTGCTGAGGCCCCCTGGTTGAGATCCAGTAGGTTTGAATTTGAAATGTGACCCTTAAACAACTGACCTAGAGGCGTGGATGGTGTGGCTAATGGTGACCACATAACCCGCCCCACCAACATCCAGGTAGGGTCCAGTAAAAGTGATGAGACCAGGATTGGCTACAGCATGTAGGTACCTAAAAGACAAAAGGATCACTAATTAGACTACATTTTAAACAAAAATGTACAAATTGATCAAAGCTTGTTTTGTTTTTTTCCCATACAATCTTAAAAACAACATTTATTAAAAAAAACGTTCTTTCTTTCTTTGCAGTGTGTGCGGCTGCATATGGACACAAAATACCTTCTTGGGAATCTGGCAGTTTGCTAAGCTTAGTTAACAGACTGTGGGATCTGTTGTCCAGTGTCCCACTAGGAGTTTGAAGACCTCCGTCCTGAGGCTCAAATCTTACCATTGCCTCCTGTTGGGATCGAAGGCTTTGTCCATGAGCGAACCGGGGTAAATCCGCAGCACCCCATTGGGCGTTGCTATGTAACGCCTCACAATGTAGCAGTTGAGGCTGCTCATCTCCATAAGACTCATCCATTCATCTGTCACGTGACTGGTGGCCATCACCTCATTTCTCACAGAAGACTGGAAGACCAAAGTAGGGGGGTGTTAAAGAATTCTACTAAGCAGAGAATCATAAAGACTGGTGCACAGCATTTCCCTAATGAAAAAGAAGAATTAAAGAGGACAGGAAGACTGCCAACTAACAACTGCCAGTTAGGACTGAGAAACCATCCATGTGACCACTAACTGTGAAAGATTGAGCCATTCCCAGGTTGGCTATGAGACATGTGTTGCTGAGATGTGCAGTAAGTGTGTGTTTGTGTGTACCTTCAGGCCTGGGTTGGCTATGAGCCGGGTGTTGTCACTCAGGTAAGCCGTGTAGTGCTCCACCATGCGCTTGGTCTCTGGCTGACTCAAGTGCTCATATGGAGAGGAGAAACTACCAGCAGACAACATCACTGTGGGACTCTCTGTGAAAAAAAGAGAGATGAATCAGTTTAATTATATTTAATTCAGTTTAATTCTGCTTAATTATATTAGCCCCTAACCATTATCAATTATCCCTTAGTAACAGTAACTTACAAAAAAGGTTCACTGTTCAAAGATTATTTATTTAGGAAAGAAATTAATGTTTATTCAGCAAGGACACATTAAATTGATCCAAAGTGACAGTAAAGACTAATAAAATAAATAAATTATATTCTTTTGAACTTTCTATTTATCAAAGAACCATGAAAAAATAAACACAATCATTTTCAACATTTAGAATAGATAAGAAATATTACTTAAGCGCCAAATCAGCATATTAAAATGATCATGTAACACTGAAGACTGGAGTTATGGAAATTCTGCGGAAAATTCAGCTTGCCAAAGGAATAAATTACATTAAATACATTAAAATAATATTATAATAATATTTAACAATATTACTGTATTTTTGATTAAATAATCACAGCCATGGTGAGCATAACAGACTTCTTTCAAAAAAACAAAACAAAAAAAAAACATTAGTAATATACAGTGTATATACTGTGTGTATATATATATATATATATATATATATATATATATATATATATATATATATATATATGTAGAAAAACCTTTAACATTCAGGGAACCCCTCCATTGCCCAAAAGGTTCTACTGGAGTATATACTGGAGAAAGGTTCTTTAGAATTTAAAACTGTTCACTAAAAGGTTTTTTGGGGAACCAAAAATGATTCTTCTATGGCAATGCACAAAACACCCTTTTGGAACCATTATTTTTAAGAGTGTATATGAAGAGTTCAGATGCAAAAACCATCAAAGTGCCATCTGAAATTTTCATCTAAAATGAGCATTTTTATCAGGTTCCTATGTTTAGGTTCAGTAATTTGACTCTAATGGCAATGTACCGTACAGGTCCTTTTCTATGTAATTAAAGTGAAATAACTGAACAAATATAGGAGCCTGATAAAAATGCCCATTTTAGAAGAAAATTTCAGATAGCACTTTTGCATCTGAACTCTTCATATGTGTGTGTGTGTGTGTGTGTGCCTATACATACACTTTTTTTATGCATCGTCTATATAAAAAAATAGTGCTACTATGTCTTGTCAGGGTGAGAATTTAAAAATGATTTACAGAAAATGTTATAAAATTATGCAATATCAATGGCAATGTTCTGATTGGCCACTGCTTTCAACAGAGATGCCTGTGATTGGCTAGAATACTCAACGCTGCAAAAACGTTGTAAATAGATACTTTTGGTTTTGTAATACAAAACCAGAGCGCGCACAAATAAAAACACACAGGAGCATTCGAAAGCGGTTGACTTCGAGCAGGTACAGATTTGAGTTGGTACACTGGTACAGTAAAACATTTATTTGGGCTTTGTTAGTAAAAATTCACTTGTTGAGCAAGAATGCAAAAAACCTTTTGATATTTGATTTATGAAAAAATAAATATCTTTAAAAAATCTCTCACTCCATTTTCAGAGAAACATGAGCTCTGCATGGTAAATCCTAACAACATACAAGAATAGCATGTACTTTTTTTTCTTTTTTTACAAGATGTAAAGATTATATTAATGTTTCGTCTGAGCTTACCGACTGTAGCGAGCTGTTTAAAGTGGAGGCAGGAGCTGGGCTGCCCCAGCAGATCCAGGCGGTGGTACAGGAGTTTGCTGCTAGGGGCCGTGTTCATATTTTTCAGTTGCTTCACCGGGATCTCCGGCTGAACGTAAACTATACACAAGATAAACGAAGTGTCCTGAACCTGCAAAACAGAGATCAAGATAAGTAAAATGAGTAAAAATACAAAAAAAAGAATAAATAAAATAACAGACAGACAGACATAGAATGGTGACTCTACACAGTCTGGTTTTCCCTCAGTCTGCACTAAACCAATGCTTGTTCCACTGTGGAGGAATAGCTTACCAATTTCCAAGCGTAGCTGACATTGTAGGCATCTCGACTGGGATCACGTAGGCGATTCATGTGCCAAGACAGAGAGGAGTTGACAGGCACAGCAATGACCTGGCTACCCAGAGGCAGACTAACAAGAAACACACAACATGAGCTTAGCAATCATGTGAGTAACACAGTAAACTCTAGCAACTGCAGATACCCAGGTCTTTTTGGCATCCCATACACCCTCACCTGAGGATATTTTGACGCACAGCAGCAAACCCTGGGATGTTCTCATAGTGGATGATGTCTGTATGGAGGGGAGCTTCTGTCATCAGGTAAGGACGGGTGAGTGACGGATGCATGAGCGTGTAGCCTGAAAGATATTCAAACATTAAATTAAATTAAATTAAAAAATGAAAAAACTAATAAACTTAAACTTTAAATTAAACAAAGTTTTTTTGTGTGTGTGTGTGGGGGGAAAAAACATGACCATTTTCCTTCATTTCTCTGACCATTAGAATTTACTAAATGACTATTAAATAATTATTTATTTGTAGTATTAAAACAACTAAAAACAGATCCAAAACTAAAAGCTAAAACTTTATAAATACTACTTATACACATTTTAAAAATAAAGAAATTAAATAAAAATGACAAATGCGTACAACAAAATTTCAAAACTTAACATTTAAATTATTTACTTAAAGAACTGAATTAGAAACTTCAGTTACCAGTCAAGATTTTCAACTACTAGGTTAAACGCAAAAACTGTGGCCTGCACAACACAGGGAGAGACTTCCTTTTAAAAAGAACTGAGAGGCAGTTCTATCACGACTCGTTACTGAACAGCTGGAGACAGCAGGTGCCACTTCATTATCCCAGTCATTAGGATAGACTGTATACTCTAAGGAACAGATAATCACCCTCATTTTATTACATATGTAATACAACACACCCTTTTAGTGCAAAGCGGCAATTTCTAGTGGGCTTATCAAATTGTTTTAATATGTACTAAGTGGAGGTTAACAGCGTTGTGAATTCAGAGAAACGTCACCCTGCTGGGGGAAATCATGGAAAAACGAATAGATGTTATTTAGAGCAGAATGAGGTAAGAATCAAAATAAGGCCAACAAAGCTTAATTTCATTCTTTGGTGGACAATATTTGCACAAGAAGACAGTGCTTTTACTGCTCCTTTTCAAGGAAAAACTAATTTTAAGTCATTTCTCCCTAAAAAGTTCAAATCCAAAGACTTCTGCAGTTCCCACTTCAAGAAACTGGCACGATGTCAGCCATGGATCTGGCTCTGAGCCATCCAATGTGGGACAGCTGAGGTAAATGGTTAATGGCCTTCAGTGCAGTGTTTTGAGTCATTTATGGTGAAGTTAGAAAGTCAAGTTAAAGTGAGGCAAACAGAGAAATATATGAAACAAGTTTGGCTCATTTTGGCTAATGGAACCAGGTGGTTCTCCACCAAAAACAATCACCAGCACACGCATCTCCCTACCTTTATTGTCTATGAGGAATGTATATGAGGCCAGGGAGTCCTGGTAGTAGGTCACGTCCTCCAGTATGTATGCCAGATTCACATCCACTCCAACTACACCCAGCAACAAGTTCCCAAAGTAGCATGGCCGGCTGACGGTCATGATGAAACCTACAAACAGAAAAACAGAAGTTCCTTTGATTCTGTCTCCATACTAATATGTCAACCTATGTAAACAGTAATTCATGAAGAAATATTATTAACTGTGAGGTACAAGCCATGGCGAAAAGGCCAGTGATACTCCAAAACAACAATAAACTATTTCCAAGTTTCAAATAGATATGCGTTTCTTGGGTATTAACTTTGGCCATATAAATAAAAAAAATATTAAAAATTCCTTGACAACATCAATTGTTTTTTAAATATATCTTTAAATTATACATTTTCTTTATTTTTTTAACCTTGTCCCAGACTATTTAAGCTAAAAATTAAAATAAATGAAAAAATGTATTAATTTTAAATCAAATTATGACTGTTCCTTCATTTCTTTCAGGCATCATTTCCATCACAGCCAAATAAAGTTTTATCAAAATTTAAAGAATGAAATATGAGACATTTTTATGAAGCAATACAAATCAAGGTAAATATCACTTGTGCATCATTTCCAATCAAGCTATAATTTCACCAGAATGACTTTCTGTCTAGCAGCCCCATAAAAGCAGACTCTGCATTTGTGATTTTTGGCTTTACTTATAGTTTAAGTTTACAGTATATAGCACCATGGAAACTTTCTGGTTCAGAGCCACTTCTTTTGAGGTCTTCTGAGTGCATATGGTTTGTCAGAGGGAATGTTAATGTGCCAGACCTGAGCTTTATGCCAAGTTCAAGATCTAAACTTACCGTCTCCCATCTGGTCCGCATAAGGCAAGCTGAAGGAGGCCACGTCGATCATTCGATTGGGGAGGTTGATGTAGAAGCGGCCCACAGTGGTCTCCAGGTTACTGAGCTGGTTCAAAACCATCATACTGCCCTTCACGACGGGCAGGGCAGAACGATCCGGAACCCCATACTTAAGAGAGTTCTGCTCGGCCAGGTCTCGCAAGAAGGCCAGCTCCTTGAGTCCCGTTACTCCTTCTGAGGACAATTGTACAAAAATTAAAATGAACATTTCTACTCAATATCTCTGTGCTATGTGTCTCTTGTGCACTTACTTAGTTTTGGAACAAAAATCAAATTCAATCTACCTATTTATCAAAATTTTCACAGATATTGTGGGCATTTTGTAAAGGTTTTGCTTCTCTGGCCCATTTAGAGTGCAGCACAGTAATAGAAAGCCATTCATATCCCTCATGGATTACTTAACCGCAGAGCTAAAAATCACACACTCTATTTCCATCATGAAATGGTGGTTTTGGACCTTTAACAAACGAGGAACATTCAATTCTGTTGAACTGTTCACTGGACTGGACATAAATTTCAACACTTGAGTCTATTAATCTGATACTGTGACAGGTTTTAATATGTGAATATAATACAACTTGTCATAAATGAACCAGACTTTAAATAAACAAGGAAATATGAGTAATTCCCTGTGTGTGTGTGTCCTTCAGAGACTCACAATACCTAGTCAAAGTAGCGTAATCTGCATTGCCAAGCTAATCAATCTGAATCATATCTCTGAGTCATCTAATGCATAAAAAAGGCCTTTCTCACTCTTTCATGTCACTGAGTGGCCTTTGATGTATTGTCGCATTTCTCTTTCTTCTTTCGATGATCTCCATTTAAATTTTCATGATGCCAAAGTAATGTATGCTAATTGCAGGCTAATACATGCTGGGAGAGGAACAGCTGAGGAGAGCAATATAATGGAGAGTGGTTTCTTACAGTAGACGCGCACACACAAAACCAGAAGAAAGATGAAGGGGCGTCAAAACAGCTGAGCATATTTTGAAAAAGCACAAACATGCACAAAGGTGTTCACCATGAGGCCTCGTTGGCTACGAGACAAAGAGCCAATAAAAAAGCTGCACTCCTAGGCGATATCTCACCGTTCATGAGAGCGTAGGTGAGGATCATGACAGAGTTGTTGAGGTGGCGGTTCTCCTCTTTGACCACGCTCAGGGTTGCTCTCTTTTCGTGCTCGGATGAGTCTCGGGAGGTGACGCCTGATGACAGGTAGATTATCACCATGTCCGTGTCTGTGGGAGGGAAGATGATCAATAATCAATCATACTGAATATAATAACCGACCTCGTGGCAACTTGAGACCATAAACACCTAGATACTCTGTATAATACATGACATCTTGCCCCAATAAAAATGTGACAACGTCTCTGTGGTAACAATTTGGCCTTTCTGTTAAAATCTACCTTCATTATAGTTGACTCTTGTCTGACTGTATGCTAGTGTGGTTTATTGTGTGCATTTCAATACGATCATAGAGAATTTTTGGTAATGCTTTACTTAAAGCCCTTCTGTACAATGCATTATAAAGTTATTCACAATGCATGTTATAATGCATTATATATTTTCATAAATAACTGTAACCAAAGTTAAAATGCATTATACTATTCTAAAATTGGTTGTGTGTCATGTGTAATGCATTCAACTTTCTAAAAGAGTGTTCAATGAATAGATAAGTATTATAATGTATTATAACTATGGTTACAATTATTCATTAGACCATTACAATGGTGCATTACAAGGCATAATTACTGCATTAAAATTACTTTTATAATGCATTATACATAAAGGCTTTAAGTAAAGTATTACAGAATTTTCAGAAAGGACGTTAAAAAAAAAAATTCAATATTTAAAATCTTTTAAAGAAAAAATAAATTTTTGTTTAATTGAACTGTTAACTGAAAACCCTGTAGTTACTGGTCACAACCGTTCAGTTAAAGTGTATTCAAATATATATATATATATATATATATATATATATATATATATAATTAAACATTAAAGAACACTTTTGTTAACACTAAACAAAAAATACATAATAAAGGTAGGAAATGACACGGTGTTAGCAAATCTAATGTACATAAGCTTTGTCTCTTACTAGTCGGCTGTCTAGTGACGTTGCTTGTGTTCCTCAACAACTGAAAGGCTTTCTGGAAGCCCAGTGCATGCTGGGTAGAGCTGTCAGACACTTTAATGTTGTTGATGAAGATGCTCATCTTCCTCTTTGTCTCGCTGGTAGCAGGTGAGAGGAAGCTCTTGTAGCACTGATCCAGAGAGCAGGAACGAACAGTATCTGCTATGGTCAACACTGAGATCTGAGGGGGAAGAAAAAAAAAGAATGTTGAGTGCCAAAAGAACAAATGCAATCAGTGGATGGTGTATGTTGATGAGGATGATGTCATTTCCTTACTTTATCATGTTCATCGATGGAGTTGAGGATGATTAGCGCAGCGTCGCGGGCGATCTGGAGTTGGGTCTCAGTGACGGAGGCACCATGGTCTATGATCACTACAATATGTTTCGACTGCGGCCTTACTGCCGAAACATACACAGGCCTGCCAACACACAGAAATAAAGATTTACGATCTACTTATTTGCAGAACACAAGAACACTGCAGAACGACTTTTCCTGGACTCTGACGGCAAGAAGCCAAGTGTAGTCCTGCCGTGATTCCCGCTCTCTTCACTACAGTGCTTGTGCAAGAGATCCTGCACTCTATTGTGTTGTTTTTGGAAACCCTTTTCAACTCCAACACTATGAAAAAGCTGTCCATAATGCCTAAATCTCATATATACATCAAGCTGAAAACCTGAGTACCAGGGTTTCTTGTGCAATCTCAAACAGGAGGAGAGAAGTTGTGGGAACACCATCAGAAATGAGCCCATCTTTCAGCACAGGCACACATTGCCCACAACACTGTGTAGCAGATTCCAGTAGGGTTTAGTAGAGGCGACCCTGCATTCCAGTAAAGGGCATGAGGCCTTTTGTAACTACATTAAACAGACCAGCCACACAAGTCGCTAAATTCTGAGGTGCCCATGACAGTGTGAGGGCGGTTAACTTAGCTTTTGTGCAAAAAGAGAAAATAACCTTTAGTTGGTCTCTAGCTAAAAGATGGGGACAGAGAAAAGAGACAAATCCGTTAATTAAAATTACTACTATAAAGACAAAAATGAATAGATAATAGATACATTTCTAAAGATTTCTAAATAGAATCAATCTAAACAACTTCTTTTAAAAAGGCAGTGTTGGAAAAATATGTACTTAGATGAGGCATGAATGTGTTAAAAATTTAAAGTTAAAAAAATTGAAAGTCTCATTACCAAGCATGCCTTAAAGACAGTGATAACCATGGGATTCAATTACTTGCTGTAGGGTATATCAGTGTTCAGAGTGAAAACTTAAAGGACAGTGTGTGTGTGTGTGTGTGTGTGTGTGTGTGAGAGAGAGAGAGAGAGAGAGAGAGAGAGAGAGAAAGCTCTTTGTACCTGCTCCTGTGCTCGAATGTGCCCTTGCAGTGAAACTTGTGAGCAGGAAACACAGTGAAAATTCCCTCCTCTGAGCTGAAGTACTGCCACTTGATCCCTGGATTGGACTTGAGGTTGTCTGCCAGCACTAAAGTAAATGAGAAAGCAAGAATAGTTTGAAAAGTTTGATATCTTTTGTATTACTCTGTGGTCTCATCTTAAAAATAAAGAAATAATTAATAAAGAAATAAATAAAATAAATACATAAAAGATGAAAAACAAACATAAATAAGTAAACAAATAAGCAAGTAAATAAATAAGTAAACAAAGTTGACTTTGTTATCCATGTCAATCTCTATCACTACTTGTCAAGTCTTATATCATCATTAAAGTCTAAATCATTCTTTAGAAACAATAGTATCTAAATGTCACAAACTCTCTAAGACAATCACCCAGAACTAATTTAATATGCCATGCAGCATGGACCTATATGAATGGTGTGTGCACTTGAAGCAGGCAGCTGTAGGGTTCGTGTCAGTTGAACAGGCCCCAGCTGTGTGACAGCCGGAGCCCAGACAAGCTGATCCTTTCCAAATGCTCGAGAAGCACAGCGATCACCACTCTGCTGCCATCAATTCAAGCGTTTATTTACTTAACAGGAGCTGGGATGTGAAGGAAAGTGGGGGAAAGAACAAGAAAAGACAGGAAAAAAAGGAATACAACTGAAAGAGAGGCAGTGGAAGCATTCAGGAGGGCATACGTCTATATGTATGATCCTTTTCAGAAATGTATTTTAGTAATATTGCATGAACCATTTACACCCAAAGTTAAAAAAAGAACAGAGAAAAAAAAGTTTAAGTCACAAAGAAAAAGAATGTGTGCTACAAGAGGTTACTCGGGTCAATTAAATGACCTGTGATTCACCCATTCCACTTAAACATGCCGACATCTTTAAGTGGTTTGAGTGACTCAAAATGTAAACTCAAACAATACAAGGCCAATATTATATAATATAATTAAGAATGAAAAAATAATGAAGAAAGAACAGGTTTATTAAAGAAAACACTAGCTTTAGGTGCCACAGAGACATGGAATAGCCTTTCCTAATTCTGATCAAAATAAACATAGTTCATCAAATTGCTGTGGAAGAGAGAGAGAGAGAGAAAGCTCTTTGTACCTGCTCCTGTGCTCGAATGTGCCCTTGCAGTGAAACTTGTGAGCAGGAAACACAGTGAAAATTCCCTCCTCTGAGCTGAAGTACTGCCACTTGATCCCTGGATTGGACTTGAGGTTGTCTGCCAGCACTAAAGTAAATGAGAAAGCAAGAATAGTTTGAAAAGTTTGATATCTTTTGTATTACTCTGTGGTCTCATCTTAAAAATAAAGAAATAATTAATAAAGAAATAAATAAAATAAATACATAAAAGATGAAAAACAAACATAAATAAGTAAACAAATAAGCAAGTAAATAAATAAGTAAACAAAGTTGACTTTGTTATCCATGTCAATCTCTATCACTACTTGTCAAGTCTTATATCATCATTAAAGTCTAAATCATTCTTTAGAAACAATAGTATCTAAATGTCACAAACTCTCTAAGACAATCACCCAGAACTAATTTAATATGCCATGCAGCATGGACCTATATGAATGGTGTGTGCACTTGAAGCAGGCAGCTGTAGGGTTCGTGTCAGTTGAACAGGCCCCAGCTGTGTGACAGCCGGAGCCCAGACAAGCTGATCCTTTCCAAATGCTCGAGAAGCACAGCGATCACCACTCTGCTGCCATCAATTCAAGCGTTTATTTACTTAACAGGAGCTGGGATGTGAAGGAAAGTGGGGGAAAGAACAAGAAAAGACAGGAAAAAAAGGAATACAACTGAAAGAGAGGCAGTGGAAGCATTCAGGAGGGCATACGTCTATATGTATGATCCTTTTCAGAAATGTATTTTAGTAATATTGCATGAACCATTTACACCCAAAGTTAAAAAAAGAACAGAGAAAAAAAAGTTTAAGTCACAAAGAAAAAGAATGTGTGCTACAAGAGGTTACTCGGGTCAATTAAATGACCTGTGATTCACCCATTCCACTTAAACATGCCGACATCTTTAAGTGGTTTGAGTGACTCAAAATGTAAACTCAAACAATACAAGGCCAATATTATATAATATAATTAAGAATGAAAAAATAATGAAGAAAGAACAGGTTTATTAAAGAAAACACTAGCTTTAGGTGCCACAGAGACATGGAATAGCCTTTCCTAATTCTGATCAAAATAAACATAGTTCATCAAATTGCTGTGGAAACCTGCAGAAGAAGAGAAATGCATGCTAAGCATGAACAGGCGTCCCAACCACAAATGAGCAAGTATAAACAGGAACTTTACAGCATGTTGACAGCTTTAAAAAAACATGTGCTGCCCCAGAGTGCTTAATCCCCCATCCAGTGTTTAGAGTAGCTGAGAAGCAGTCATGACGTGACACCCCTTCATTTCCTCTATCCCTTCATTCCACTTGAAATCTCCACCGACTGTTATATTTCTTCTCACTTACGGTGCTGTCAATTTCAAGGTTATTATTAACTCCAAAAATCATTGCATTTGCCTTTTCCTTATGTAAACACTCTTCCTCATCCAGCCAATGGGAATTGTTGTGTATTTCTCGCAGAGACAGTGATAAACCAAAAGTTGCGTCTTAAGTAGGCTGTGAGCCTAAATATTATGCATAATTTGAGTATCCCAAATCGTAGTAAACGGCAATGGATTTTTAAGAAGCGCACATCTGCACATGCTTTTGTGGCTAAAACTGACCATAATCCCTTGTAATCCATCACAAGAGGAGTTTGTGACTGTTGTGCAAGCTCCAATCCCCCATAAAATGTAATCCTCAACCTGATAAAAAAGTAGCATTATTGTGGTATCTTGATCCTAACAAATCAAAAGCATTTTTTTCTTAACCAATTACTGCTATGCTAAGCTATTAATGCTAAGCTGTTTATTTTACTAATCTAAGGCTAACTGTGAAACTGTACTAACTTGGCTAACTGTGATTTTTTTTTAGGGTTCTTTGATGAATAGAAAGTTCAAAAGAACAGCATTTACTTAAAATAAAAATTTCTTATAACATTATAAATGTCTTTACTATAAGTTTTGACCAATTTAATGGAACTTTGCTAAATAAAAGTACAATTTGACCTTAAACATTTGGACGGCACCATTTATTTTTCTATCAGCAACAAAATAAGTACATACTTTAAGTGCTTATAAAGTTGGGACGCAGCTTTATGACAGTCGGGAGAATGCTTGCAGAACTCTGAGAAATAAAGAGATAGAGATGTGAAGAGGAGTAAAGAGTAAAACAAAGGACACCAAAGGGGGGAATGTTGGGAAATAGGAACCAACCCTACAAACTAAATCAAAGACATCACATCACACTGTAACACAACACTATCGCTCTCTTTCTCTCATCGCTCTATTCTCAAGGTTTTTCCTCCCTCTTAATTGTTTCGTTCCCCCCCCCCAAACATTTCATCAATGTTTAGACTAACAGGGATCAAATGTGACTGATGACTGCCTGCATGGTTAGCAGGGTCAGTATTCAATGACAAATGGAGGAAGAGTGGTAACATGAACTCCCGATGACTGCCTTACAAAAATAAGCATCTGTATGAAGATGAATTGGGATAATCTGTTCTGGAGCGAAAGCAAGTGTGTGAGGCCAGAAGGAGGGAGAGTCTGAACCAAGGTGGCTGAAGAAAAAAAAAAGGCAACTGTGTTGAACACTAAACCTGAGAATGAACTGTGCTGTTACTGTACACTACAATGTCCTTTCTCTCCCTAAACTAAAGTGCTATCAATCAGTTCATACAGATGGTTAACAAAACAATTCTCCATTTCTTCAGAGTTCCTATGCACCATTAGTGGGCCTATGTAATCCAATTCACAAATGAATGACTATTATAATCTGATTATTTTAAAGAACTGATCGAAAGGAATCAAGTTATCGTTGGATTCAGACTACCCACTTGCTGGATTCATCACAGAGGTTAATTGAATTGAACTGAATTAACTGAATCAGTTCGTATTCTTTTGTCTATATGTAGTTAAAACAACTATAGGGGGCTTTCCCGTTGCAATACACTAATGTATCTGATACGAAGAGGAGGTGTTGACACTGGCTCAGTGTAGAAAGTAGGGCTGCACGATTAATCAAAAATAAATTTAAAAACATGACTGGGATCGGTATCGGCCGACCGTAATGTTAGTTTTTTTTATTCGTTATTTTTATTTATTATTGTTAACATTCTATTTCTGTTCAACAGCTTTTAATTTATTCACTTTAAGGGGTCTAAAATAAGTACTTTTTAAGTTCAGCACTTTATTATAACTGAAAGTCCTGTGTAGACGGCACTTTTTTTTTTTTTAACTTGAGTGCAATAAATATTTTGGTTGATGATGGTCTAAATTCATTGCCGTAAGAATGAAAAACAAAAACAATCTTTGAATTAATATCTGAAATGTTTTTCTCCAACCACCTGAAAATCTGAATTGATTTACCTTACTGTAACTGTTGTGATATAAATCCTGTTTAAATTGAAGAAACACTGTAAACATCATACATACATAATTCATACTTCATGTATTAATATATTTGGTTACACTTTATTTTAAGGCGTCCTTGTTACAGTGTAATTATACATTTAAGTACTGAGTAATATTAATTAACTACATGTATACCTACTATATGATATATATATAAATGATATTTATCTCACTACTATTGCCTAATTTTTTATTTGAAAACAATGATACAGCTTGTTCAGGATTCACAGATGAATAGAAAGGTCAAAAGTACAGAAACTGGAAATTGGAATATCCTTAAAAGGCTAAAAATGATACTGCATCATAGGCCTGGATGATAAAACAGTATCGATATTTATCGACGGTACACCTTCTTTGATAACGATAGAAAAAATGTTTGATATAGCGCATGATATAGGCAGGTGCTATGAGTGACGCAGACAGCACACACAAACACATGCTGTAATGAGTGCTGTGCCTGCCTGTGATGAGGAGATTGTGAATAAAGAATGAATATTAGTCAAATTTTAAATAAACATTTGCATTTGAATGTTAGGAGTGCGTCAGGGAGCGTCATCAGTGGCGCGTGAGATGCAGTGATAATGATGTAAGTGATGTTGTTGCATTTTAATGTTTTGTTAGTCTAGCCCACGAGACGCGCCACTGCTGCGTTATTCATTCAAAATATTAGAGAAATATAGAAGCTCAATGCGGAGAAGATCTTGATTAGGTTGAAACCGAAACCAGGCCATTCACACAGAACGCATATTCAGCGCATTTTTTAGATAGACAAATATGACTGCTGCACTCGCGTCTCATGCAAGAGATGTATAAAAAGCCATGCAAAGTTAAAACAGTTAAAACTTTTAGAAAACACGTCACGAATTTGTGGAGGTGTATTCCTTTTAAATACATGATGCTGTTTTGTTCATAATTGTTTATGCAATTTACAAAATTATATTTGATTTTTATGAGTTAATTTAGAAGTAATGCACATTTTTTTATAGACAGTCATGTCCTTGCGTTGACAATTTAAATGCGCTGCATTATTTTGCTCATTGCGCCCTCCTGTGGCCTTGGGAAACAAGCCAAAAGTTTCCTTAAAACCCATTTAATCTGCATATAAAACATTAGGAATTAGATATTTGTTTAATTTTTATTTTGTGTTTATTTTTAGTTTGATTGTTAAAACAAAAAAATATTTGTTGTTTGTCTCAATAAATTGGGTTAATTTAAAAATAAAGTGGTTAAATTAAAAAATTTAATTATATTGCTCTTTGTTTTAAAAAAGGTTATTAAAAATGTCAATAATTATCGATACCGAACGATTTGAAGCATTATATCGTTGATAAATTTTTTAGCTTTATCGCCCAGTCCTATTGCATCATAACCATACATGTGCATCATGATATTTAGATGGTACTCAAAGTACTTAAAAGAATATCATGGTATTACCATGGTCCAAAAAAAAACAAGGTAGGGACTTGGTACTGGTGATAACGACTGTAGCCTTATCACATGCATGTGGAGACTGTAGCCTACACATGCACGTGTTAAGCCGCGTGCTTCTGATGTTTTCACTTTCGAATTTGCGATCTTGTTGTCACTGTTTTGCTTACATACATCTACACACCTTTCATTTTTTAAGACTAAAACAAAAGATGGATTCATTGTTATTCTTAATCAAAAAGCACAACAACAATAAATCAGTAAGATACAATGACAAACTAGCTTATAAAACGTTTATTAACAAAAACGAATAAGAAGAGGCATGGCACACACCACATGCTGTATTATATACCGACTAATAAATTACAGAACGTTTAGCAAACACTGAGGAATCAAATACATAAATAAAAGAGAGCCTCCATAGCTTAAGGTAAACAGCAAGTTTTTCAAAAATGAAAACAAAAAGAAAAGTAAAACTAATGGTGACAGTGCTTGCATGTTTTCCCCCCACAAGAATACCAGCATGTTCACCTTTCTCTGGTTTAAGAAGCGGTCTTTTACTTGACTTTTGCTTGAAAACCATCCATCGTTTATATATGCGCGTCATTTTTGCTGTAGCTGAGTAGGTATAATCTCTAAGCGCTGTTTCGTTTGCCCTTTGATGTTTCTCATATGCAACAGACAAGCGCTTATGAGTTGACCAACACGCACACAAAATTTAGTCGCACAGGCAGAAAAAATGGTCGCACTCTGGAGCCCTGCATATTAAAGTTCGTAAGTGCAGCGCTGCTTTGTTTACAGCGGAAACCAAGCAAGTGCTTATGAGTTGACCAACACGCACACAAAATTTAGTCGCACAGGCAGAAAAAATGGTCGCAGTCTGGAGCCCTGCATATTAAAGTTCGTAAGTGCAGCGCTGCTTTGTTTACAGCGGAAACCAAGGAATCGCTTTAAGCGCCACCTGCTGGCAGAGAGTGAATCTGCGTCTCCTTCAGCTCTGCTGTTTCTGTTTCATGCAGATATTTTTTATGCATAGTTTCACAAAACTGAAGTCAAACCATTCTGTTTTTGTTTCAGGTATGCTTCATAATTTAGAAATTATACAATGAAATTTAGATTAAAAACTGCTCATGTTGCATGCATGCAGCATCTTTGTTTGGATCATGATTAAAATGCAGTGGTTGCCTCTAATTTTAAATGGAAAGAGCACAGACAAAGCCTTAGTTTGTTTATATGACGAGATTTCTTTTATTTGTGTTACTTATTTATTTGATTTGGGGCTTGTTTTAAATTTTCAATTTAGTTTTGTTATTTACATTTACATAAAAGTTACATTTTGTTATTTAGCAAACGCTTTTATCCAAGGCGACTAACAAATGAGGACAATAGAAGCAATCAAAACCAACAAAAGAGCAATAATATGCAAGTGCTATATTAGTATATTATTAGTGTTATATTTCATTTTCACAAAGAAACGTACAGTATTTTGTCTAAGCAATAATAAAAATGTTAACATTTTGTTAAAAAAAAAATCGTGAATCGAATCGAATCGTGAAATCAAAATCGTGAATCGAATCAAATCGTGAGTTGAGTGAATCGTTACATCCCTAGCATAAACACATTGCATTACACAACATAATGTTCTTTTTAGCAAAGCCATATGACCCCTTTAAAGCAACTTTGACAGGACACAGCAGGTCACATTATCTGAATGTGGTTGTATCGTGAATCGAATCGAATCGTGAAATCAAAATCGTGAATCGAATCAAATCGTGAGTTGAGTGAATCGTTACATCCCTAGCATAAACACATTGCATTACACAACATAATGTTCTTTTTAGCAAAGTCATATGACCCCTTTAAAGCAACTTTGACAGGACACAGCAGGTCACATTATCTGAATGTGGTTGCCATCATAAGGGTAGACCATTCTTATGCAAAATAAAATGACTTTTTCTAGAGATCACTGATATGGATTTTTCATTTAAGTGTAGACCACTGTAAACCTGCTTGTCAAAAGTACTATTCACTTCTACCATTTTTAAAAATGTACATTACATTTTTCATCATGCTGTCATAATAAAAGGCTTTTCAAAAACCCACAAACAGGATGCAACATGATAATATCAAGGCGGTGTATAATACATTCCATTGTTAAGAAAACTTGACGAGGCGGTTTAAGATAAACATCGATGAGCTGATTGGGCAGGTGTGTGAAGGTTTAAGCCCAATGATGTATCATTTATAAATAAATCCAAGGGTTGTCTTGTAGGATAAAGCAGCAGCTAGCTCTTTTATGCTTTTTCATCAAGCCTCAGGTGATACATATAATGCTTTGACTTTGATACTGGACACTGTACGACATACTGGAAAACCTGAAGTAAACTTTTATTTGTAGTCTTCTAAACTCCTACTATAATTTTACTTCCCTTTAAAACATTGCAAAAGATGTTTCTGTGCCTCAGGGACAGAGCCATTTTCCAAAACAGTCCTTTGAGAACTGCACATTCTGACAAAGCAAACTTATTCTTGAGGGAGAAAGCAATATACATATACAGTATATATAAAATTCTTGAGCAAATTCTAGCCAATGTACATAGAATTTTTGTTTTTGAAAGGAGTATGTTATGCTCACCAATGCGTGCCTTTAATTTATCTAAAATACAGTAGAAAACAGTAATATTGTGAATTATTGTGAAATATTTAATTTTAAATATGAATTTATTTATTTTGAGCAATTTAATGAATCCATACTGAATAAAAGTATTCATTTCTTACAAAAGCCACAAAAAAAAATCTTACTGACCCTAAAAACTATAAATGGTAGTGTAAAATGATATTTATATTTTACCTGGTCTGAAAATCAAAGTTTAAACATTTTTAAATATATCCATGTTTTCCATGACCTTGGGAACCTTTTTCTAATCTAATCTATTTTCTCATTAAATTTTTGCCAAAGTATGCGGAAACATGGCTTCTCTCTTGACGGAGATGAGGACTGAACACGTTAATAGAACGTGATGATAAAGGAAATGTAGAGGAAAAAACAGCTTAATAATTAATTTGCAACAACCAGTAGAACCTTTAAAATGCCAGATGATAGTGAGGGGATGCAGACAGGAAAATATATGAAACAATAAAGAATGAAAGAGACATAGCTGAGAAGGTCATCTGATGATTTAGAACATCCTTCAAACAGAGATAAACGGATGCAGAGAAGATGAAAATTCAGAAGAGTAGAGCCAAACATTTGGGTCTGGATGTGTGAGTGAGACAGAGTCAGTCAGACAGACAGAAGGGAGGGACAGTTAAGACACAAAGCAGACAAAAGAAGCACCAAGAACTGTGCAAACTGCACTGGGAGAGAGAGATTAGGTTTGAAAGAGCAGTCTGACATCTCAGCTTACTCATCATTGCCTTTCAGTTATTTAAACACAATATTTGTCGCATTTAAAAATGCTTTTCTCATTCACATTGACCCACAACCATTACACATACACACAGTAAAATCAGTGAAGCAAGTAAACTGTGTGACGCATCACATTCACACAGATTCAACATGTTTTACAAGTACTGAAAGGTACACAAAATTTGTTTAAAATGTCTTGTTTTTGGAAGTGCTGTGGGAAAAAAAGTTAAATTAAAGGTGTAATAAACGAGTACTTACTCCATCATGGAGGGGGGGATGGTGCAGCAGTCCTGGATGGCTGTTAGAGGGGAGGTGAGATGGGCCGTGTAAGAGGCTTCCACCACCTGCTTGTTCCTGTTCACCACATCCAGGTACCGGTTAAACTTCTCACGGATCTTTTTTGCTAGCTGAAAACAATAAAAACAGATGTATTAATATTTCTGCATATCAAAATTCAATAATGTCTCCCTGATCAGTGTGTTCCAGTGATATTCCTATTTAGGAATTCAACTTAAAGGATAATTTCACCCAAAAATGAAAAATCTGTCATCATTTGCTCACCTTCCACTTATTCCAAACCTATGTGAGTTTCTTTATTCTTTAAAACACAAAAGAAGGTATTCTGAAGAATGTTGGTAACCAAACTGATTTCCATAGTGTTTTTTTCCCCCACATCCTATGAAAGTCAATGGCTACCATCAACTGTTTGGTTACCAACATTCTTCAAAATATCTTCTTTTGTGTTCAACAGATTTGGAACAACTTGATGGTGAGTAAATGATAACAATTTTAATTTTTAAGGTGAACTATCCCTTGAATTTTTTATGTTGGCCAAAAAAAAATTCATTTTATATATACTGTATATATATATATGTATGTATATATATAATTTGTTTATTTTCAGTTTTCCAGTGTGTTCAAATTAGAAGCATAGACTGAAATGTTTACCACTTGAATGCAAAACTGTCCTTTTTTTATATAAATACAGAATAAATTAATCAAATATCACTTTGATATGCACATTTCGTGCTCGAAAAACTCTCTTTCCATTACTCCTGTAAAATAAGCTGAGATTAATTCACCTTCCAAATCTAGTCGTGCACTCTACATCAAACAGAGCTTGAACTAACCTTGGAGACTAGCAATCGATCACCATTAGACATGCATTGTCAGCTGCTGCAGTGCCACAGGCATTGGGAAAATGGTTTGGTGATATAAGGGAAAACTGAGATCATAATCCAGAAGGGGTTTCAGAAAACTGGGATGTTGTTTTAACTTTGGGTCTATACGGCACTTGTGCAAAGGAGTTACGGCTGATTAACCATGTTTCTGTGAATTCTGGTTTACCCAATGCAGACTTGAGTTCCCTGGAGAAAGTTATTAACTAGAGCAGCAGCTCAGCTAAGAGTTTCTCCTCACACAGGACATAAATTACTCACACATAAGCCACTTTCTTTTCACCAGATGTTTTAGTAAACCAAAACTTGCACACATGCTGTACAAAACATAATTCTTGCATTAACAACAACAACAACACATAGGACTCAAATTTTAAGGCAAAAAAACATGATAAATGTTCTCCAAGTCCTGGATTGGATAAACGTTGCATGACCTATTGACCGTGAACATCCAATCAGCTGCCTGTTTCAGCCATTGCTGCTAAACTTCAATGTTATTCTTTCAAGTTCACGATCCAAGGGAGACATTCCCACTTCTGACAGGTCAGAAAATAACACTATTATCCAGAACATCAGTATATCTAATTCTGCACAATCGAATCAAACTTTCAAGTCTTGAAAGAGCTGGAAGATCATTTAAGGTTATGCGTTACTGAGCTCAATCCACAATTTTTAAAATTGAGAAAACATCTACATAACTAAAAGAAAATAACTACATTTTTCAAATTAAAAATGAAACTTGCAAGCTACAGTAAATATCAAAGAAATTATCTCATTTATAAATGTATTTTATGACAAACTGTGAAAATTAGTTTGGGGTATTTTCCGAGGTCTGCGTCCTAGCTCATTAAAATGGTAACATTAAGAGAAGACAGGCTTACTTTGTCTTTGTGTCGCTACAAGACATGGACATGATCCTAATTGGTGCCGTTTTCCGCTGGGGTGCCTTTTCAACTTGCACAAATGGCAGTGCCAGGCCTTCATTACCATGTGTGCGCATACACAAGACTGGCAGATGTTGACAGCATTGCCAAACGAGCAACCGATGAAAGTCACATTTTTTAGAGGAACCCAGAATAATGGGATTTGTAGTTACAGATCTAATAGCTGTTATTTCATAACCTTTACAATGAATAATAAAAGAAGAACTAGAATGTCAACTAAAACAATAAATGGATTACAAGAAAATACAAAGCAGTATAAAGGAAATATGAGCAACAAAGACTTGACACCATAAGTGTAAATCAATGTATTACTATATTGTTTTCTATTTTTTTTTCTTTCTCTTGTAAACTAATGGCGATCAAAGCTGATCAAATATGACATATTTGTTGGCTAACATGGTTAACAATTTTAATTCACTTTACCGTGGGAATTTCTAACGGGTTTTAGAAGGTTTTTTAGTTAGAGTAAACCAAGGTCTGTGGTTAAAATCACTTAAAGAGACATGCCTGACGAACATAACCATTGTAACAACTTGTTAGCAACTTACATTTTCAAGAACACACAATGGTTTAAAAATCTGAATTATGAGTGGGTTATTTGTGTTGCAGAACAAAAATTCACAGTCTTCATTATACTCAAATGAACAACCATTATTCTTTCTGCATTCTTTATTCTTAAACGCATTTGAAATTCACAAGGCTTGAATATGTTCATTCTCATCCTGATTTGGGACAACAATCTGAAGAGCTCTATTAAACAGAAACTAAAACTAGGTCAATTTAATGCAATACAGCTTTCAGAGCTAAGAATAGACTTTATTTAGGCTGCATCACCATACCACAAAATAATACAATAAAAATGTATTTCTAAATTTCACACATTTATGTGTACTTATTGCTGCATATTAAGCCAATCATTTTAACACAAAGTAGTTTTCATACATGTAGAAATGGCTTGACCGAATTTGATCAGCAGAAAAAATAGTTTCACATCCTCTTAAATGTAACACTTCAATAAGTCTGAATCTGCCCAGCTTAGTCAATTACACCAGCGGCAAGACCCAAAATAGTAGAGTGAGCAATCATTTTAATTTGTCTTCCTTCCCTTTTTATATGAGTACATCCAGTGCCAATTAATGAGGAACAACAAAACAGCATTATAGCATGACAAAGCCTGAGTCACTTCATAATCAAACACGTTCAGGTCTCGATTGCCTCAGCAGGCAGAACGGTTTATCAGCATCTACCTCCAAAAACCCTGTTTGGCAATTAGCTGTCGAGGTGTCACTAGTAAAACCTGCCAGCGATCGGCTTAATCTCTCACCAGCAGCCGGTAAATAGCTGCAGGTGAGAGGGAACGAAAGAGAGAGAGAGAGACAACGTACAGGAATAATTCACACAAAAGGGCTTCTCTTGGCAAACGAAACCCAAGTGAAGAGTAACAACCTGTCCGTTCTTGCTCAGGGCGTGTGTGTGTCGCTGAGAAACACATTCATGGGGTACGAGCGCAGTTGCTGCCACTCATGCCGATTTGTTTTGAGGCTGGTCAGAACAGAGTGTATTAACATTGAAAGCTCTTTATGCCTTACAGCAAAAACAGAAGCTGGAGTAGGCATGAGGGAGAGGCCCATGGCAAGAATAAATCACACTAGCCCATGACAGGCTTACTGTCTTATAACTGACAGAGGAAAGAAATGCATTCCCACAGTTTCAGATGGAAAAGTACAAAAATGAAATTGCATGGTTACTGTGGTCTAAATTATTACTTTAAATTTAGCTATGATGATATATGCACACACTTTATACACAGTTGTGCTCATAAATGTACCTCAAAAAATAATAAATTTTTTATATACAAAAAAAAGGGATCATAAAATAGTGTATTTAGTTTGAGAGCCAGCATAACAAATACATGAACTTAAATGAAGTTATTGATGCTCAAGGAGGCAACACACACAATATTAAGGAACGAGGGTATTCATACTTTTAAACAGGACAATATGTAAATTCTGCTATTGTTTTGTCTTGTAGAATATAGCTTCATAAGGGATGTAGTATTTTTGATAATAAAAAAAAAACTGTTTACAGATTCTGCAAAGGGTACTTATAAGCAATAAAGTTTATGAAAGCATTATAAAAATGCAATTAAATTTGAATAATAATAATAATAAATAAAATTTGATAAATAAATAAAATACATACATACATACATACAATTTTGAGCAGATCCAAGTCCAAAAGGTTATTTGTTAAATTATTATACTTATAAATTATTTGTGATAAAGTGGTTCTTGATCAATTCAAGCAAAAACCTGGTATGATCTCTGAAGGTTGTCCAAAGGTCAAAGGTAGGGGGTAGGGGTGGGAGATATGGCAAAAAATATCATATCACAATTTGTGATGTGTGTGTGTGTGTTTAAAAGTTACTTTACACTTTTTTTGTATTGCATAAATAATGTTATGAGATTAATGTTTTAAATATGAAAACTGGAATATAGAAATATGAAATTATAGAAAAAAAAATAGAATGCTACTTTCAAATATGAAAAGTAAGTGGCGGCAAGCCACTGTCTTAATAAGTGAGTCACTGAGTCATTTATTCAATCAATTGCATGGCTTTGTTTGGAACCATTTTCTTTAGCGAAATAGAGCAAAAAAAGACAATATCGTCTCTATGATTTAAATCACTTAATATTTATGTCTGGGTAATTTAATTGTTGCCCTGACACGAAGAAAAGTCTGCCGCAGACTCTGTTAACCAAACCGTTCATATAATCACTCTAAATGCGTATGTGTGGAATACTGCATATAATTCTTATTAAATATCTATATTTGTTGCTTCACATTGACAGTGCTTCGCAACAAATAACCTAATTTGACAAATGGCAAAATCAGTATTATAGCGACAAGTTATACAGTAAGTTTCAGATACCTGAAGCAGCTGCTGTAAGTTTTTATCGATGGTTGGTCAGTTTACATGTCGGTCAGAAGTACGAGACTCAGTGGACGGTTCTTGTCAGAAGTGAATGACAATGTAAGTTGACACTTTTGGATGTGCAGAGAGCAAATCCGCGGTTCTAATAGAAATGATTTTAATGCGCATGAAAACTCAGTGATGATGCATACAGGGCATAGTAATAAAACCATTCGGGGCTTTTTTTAAATTTAAAAAAAAAAATGTATGAAAAATTATGAGACTAAACATTTCCTTTATGTAACCTTTTCACATTGAAATAGTGTACTCTAACACAATATGACAATTTCAGCATTAAGCCTTGAAAACCATGACAACATAACTTTAAAATCGATGACATTGATGCCATGGGTATTATACAAATTGAAGACATTGATGCCATGGGTATTATACAAATACATAATTTTCCTGTCTCATTCTGTTAAACGTTATCCATACTGACAGACAGGCATGTCTGTAATTGAACAAGCTCTTTTCCTAATGCCGCAGAGTTTTAAAATGGTTTCTAATCAGAGAGTTTTGATCATGGGCCAAATGCATTGACGTTAGAAAGAGCTAAAGCATGAGCAACCATCTTCTCATTTCTCTAGAGCTTGTTAGGGAGGGACACAGTGCAGTCAATAGAGGTTGGAATTAGTGTTTCAGCAGTAGAAAGCACAAAGATGGCTTCAAAGACAGCAGACAGCAACTGGAGAATTTTAATGAGTGTCCTTTGCCCCTCTAGACCACACACACACACACACACACACACGCACAGCACTCACTCAGTATCAAGGGATGTTGATGAGTAACTCACCTGCTGCACCTCTGTTTCACCATTAGAAGTCTTCTCCGTGTACACAAAGGAGTTGAAGATTCTCTGTGTGGAAAAGAAGAGAGAACAGTTGCTGAAAGCTGACAAATAAAAGTAAGGAGCTGCTAGACTGAAACACAAGAAGAATATCTGGCAGAATTTATCCGTATGCACCAGGACCTTTGGTTAATGATTTTTTTGGGTCATTTTTTTTAGTAGTGTGACAGTAGCTCAGTTGTGTTCAAAATAGTGTAAACCAGTTTTCCAGTAACGAGCTACTTTTTCCAAGATGCAGCACAACAAAACACAGTTTTTAATATTCCATTGTCTTGCAAACACAACTTCACTGCAAAGTGAGCTGTTACTAAACATTCTCTCTCAAAAGTCGGATTAATTTGAGTAAATAAGTTCATTCGAAAGAATCAATTAAAAAGAATTAATTGACTGGCAAACTGAAATAATCATGATTCAGTATTTCAGTATTACTGACAGTATTTCTATTTATTGGGAAACATTTAGTTAAAAATATTCATCACCAGGTTTTCAACTTTTTCAACGTTTTTTAGTTGAATGCATGTCCTAATTCTTTTTTGGTCAAACATAGCTTATGCTAACTGTTTTATATTATGAGTAGCTTTTAATTTAGCAAGCTACAGGTTCAAAGTAGCTTCCCTAAAAAATTGTTTCAAAATGCCTTCTCACATTATATGCTTATTTGAATAATTGACGTTAATTACTAATTATATTGTTTGGTGGCAAAACTCCTACACCAACAGAGTGTGTTTACAGAATTCACAAGTTTCAGGTGGATTTCAAGTTTCATCTAGTACCTTTTACCTAAATGTACGTTTTCCCAATATGATGCTCAAAAGTGTTAGGCACAAACACTAGATAAACACCAAAAGCCAACAATTAAATTACATACTGCACAAAAGCTCACCAAACATTTGCTTAAATAAGACTGCAGGTGTTTTGTGTAAGGGTGTATTCACACCTGTCTAGTTTGGTTCGATTAAATCGAACTCAAGTTCATTTCCCCTCTTGGTGCGGACCTTTTTGGCAGGTGTGAATGCAGCAATCCCACTCGGGTGCGGACCAAACAACTGCACCGAGACCCAGCTGAAGAGGTGGTCTCGGTCCGCTTCCAAACGAACTCTGGTACGGTTTGTTTAAGGTGAAAATATGACCCGACCTCGATCCGACCCAATTGCAGAAATCACACTCAGAAACAGACAGCACGCACATATAGTGCTGTTATTTGCGTTTCAATGGCTTAAATCACTTGTTTTTAAACCAAAATTGCTTAAAAGCTTTTAAAGCTTTCTATAGATATATTCATGTCTATAAGGAAAATATTCAATGAGTTTCGGTGCATTTTTGTGAAGCAGTCGGGAAGCGCATCCTATTAGTCTTCTTTATTTTACAAAAGCACAACGTTTTCTTGATATTGTGAGTGCACGGGAAGTCGTGGCCTAATGGTTAGAGAGTCGGACTCGTAACTCAAAGGTTGCAGGTTCGAGTCTTGTACCGGCAGGGATTGTAGGTGGGGGGAGTGAATGTACAGCGCTCTCTCCCACCTTCAATACCACGACTGAGATGCCCTTGAGCAAGGCACCGAACCCCCAACTGCTCCCCGGGCGCCGCAGCAAAAATGGCTGCCCACTGCTCCGGGTGTGTGTGTGTTCACTGCTGTGTGTGTGCACTTTGGATGGGATAAATGCAGAGCACTAATTCCGAGTATGGATCACCATACTTGGCCACTTCACTTCACTTCACACAAATAAAATCAAACCCTTTACAGTTCTGAACGATGTATTATTCTTACCTGTATGAGCAAAAATTATGGCATTTAATTTGTTTCCACTGATGTCCTGAAGCTTCAGCTTCAGCTTCCACTCTCCGCACAAACGATTGGATATTGGATATTTATCAAGGTTAAATGTTTAAACTAACATTGTGATATGCTTTAAGTATTTTATATCCATAGATTTTATTTTCGGCAAGTCATAATTACAACATCGTATGACAGTCTCATATGATGCTCATAAGTTTCTTCATATTGCGTTAGTATTAGGGCTGCACGGTAAATCGCATGCGATATTGATTAGCCATGATTAGCCTGTTTTTGGACTTCCTGTTTTTCCCTGCTTGAGAATTTCTGTCCAATGAATGGATGACCTTAACACACGTGTGGTTTTGTTTACAATTTCTAGTTCACTTGCAAAAAAGGGCAGTGCGAAAGCGAACCGCACCAAACAAAAAAAATCAACATTGTATTTGGTCCGGACCAAAGCAAGTGAACTAGCAGACTTTCCTGGTGTGAATACACCCTAAGCCTCCCAATTTCCACCTAAATGAGCTATGGAAGATTAAACTTTTCTATGTCTACACCTTACCATTGTAAACCTTCAAAAATAGCCTACAAGCTCAACAGTTCCTCACAATGACGATATTTGCTCTTTGCACACCTCATTACCATGGCAATCCTGACACGGAATATCACTGTGGAATGTGTCATAACAACTTGATGGATTCCCACCCCATCCAAAAAAAAATCACTCACCATCAGGAGGACTGATGATCTTTAACACTTAAGAAGAGAAGAAACTCTTTTAGTCACTGTGCAATGCGTCTGAGGTCAGGGTGGTCACCCACATTAAAGATGATGAAAGGGGCACATGTCCACACTCACCTAAAGCCTGGAATTTCATCACCAGCGCATGTTTATAAAAAGCAAAATAAACTGTGGGTGATGTATGAATGAGCCCCACCTTTGTGAATAAAGTGAAAGAAGAAACTTGTCATTTCAGACTCTTCTTGTAAAATAAACAGGCACAAACACAAATAGCACATCGGGCACCAGCACAGGTCTTTCCCCGGTGTGGTGGGTTTGTTTTTCGAACTGCTCCGATGGCTTTCACAGCTTTACCCAGGCCAGAGAGGAATTTCGCAGCTTGTAAGTTGAGAACCCTCTCAACAAATGTGAAACTCTTGAGAGGAAGGTCTTTGAGGTAAGAAAACTGATAAAAACACAGGGCACTAGACTATTATTATGGTTCCAACATTTCACCTAAACAAGGTTTCCCTTACAGTCGATTCAACCTCACTATGACTATGTTTTGTAAAAGATTTGAAAGTTGTGTGTATGTGAATATGTATCTTAAGTTTCAAAGACTGAAGTATGTATCACAGTAAAGGCTCCCAGATTATTTTGAATAGGACATAACTGACGTTTAATGAAGAAGTCAATAACGACTCTAAATGATTCCAAAATTAGTTTGATTTAAATAGCAAATTCACAAGAAATTCAAAATCTAAACATTAAGTTACGCTTTTTATTACCAAGACCCCCATTGTCCACAAAAATATTTGAAGTCCCCATGACTTTTCTACTTGTTTGTGATTTTCTGGATAAGGAATTTTAGAGCTTGGCATAACTGGAAAGAGTGTATTCTAAAAAAGTGCTCATGGAGTTAAAAGATTTTATTAATTTTCTTGACTTCTCCTTTAGTCTAGAAATCATTTTTAAAATTAGGACATCATATATCCAGGTTTTTCAAGTTCGTGGGAATCATGGTTCTTGTTTTGTCTTATTTTAAATCCTTTTAAGGCATCTTGAGGCCCCCTGTTTAAGAACCACTGCTTTAAGGAGACAATATGACAAAACTGATGATATGGATGGAAACAAAGTTTTCTCAACTGTCACCAATGGTGACTAGGATTTAAATTATTGTTGCAATTGTTTATCGTCACATCTGTGACAACTTTAGTCTCAGTCTGTAGCCCTGCAACAACAGAAAGAAACAGAGTAACATCAAGCTATGCCATCAGCAATACTCAGTGCCTGAACTTTACAAATCGACAGGACTCTTCAAGCCCTCTCCATGTTTGGACTATCCACCGTCTAATCCTCACAGACAAGTTGACATTAACATGAATGATAAGCTATAGGATTGTAAGCAATAACACATTGCCGTTCAACTAAGTGGGGACAAAGAAGCCTATGTGCAGCTGCTTTGGCTCAGAATGTGGTGTCCAGGAAGGTTATTAATCTTGTCAACCCCAGGGTTAATCTTGACTGCAGTTGAATAGATGTCTGGAATGACTGAACCTCATGCTGTCTTTGATCCAGGCTTGTCAAGGCTCCGGCACTCCCTTCAACAGAGGCACGGCAAGGCAGATTGACTAAAACCAAGCCCTCCACAGGGTGGTTAATTATATCAAAATTGCCATCTCCCTCAGCCAAAAAGCAGCCACTTAAGAATTATTGCTGCCACCTAAGGAATGAAACCCATAAGTCATGTCCATATTTCAATACACAAACAGAAAAATGCGCCATCATTCCAAGCATACCTCATAGAAGTTGCACAAAGCTAATAGGCACAGATGAGCTTATTGGATTTTAACTGCACACACTCTTCCATAAAGTTTCCAGGCATTGGTTGAGGAAACAGCTGATGCGCTGTGGGAGCAGAACAACACTGGAGCCGCGGCGTTGATGCTCGGCAGCATTTCCATTAAAATGGTGCGATGGAGGGGGATAAACCTATTAGCAATTCAGTCATCTTCAAAGTCGAGAGCCCATCCAGCTAATCCTCATTAATTTGGGATTGTACAAGGGAGTGAAAGGGTGTGTTCACATAACGCAATGAGCAGAAAAGGTGCCGTAATCCTCTCTTTAGGCCTACAAGGTCTAAATCATTGGACTGACCCTCCCTTAACACTGCAGTAAAGATGTAGGTTAAAGAGCAGTAATGTGTTTTTGCTCTAAGGTAAGTCGATGTGAATTGCAATTTGCAACCCATATTAATTCTGTAAACACAACAATGAATAAAAAAAAGAACTCAAATTCATTCATCTGTAACTTATTTGATAGCAAAAGTGGTCGTTACATAAAATAAGGTCCCAATGATTGAGAGTTTGCTAAAACAATGACTAAACAAATATTTGGCCATGTGGTGGCTATCCAAGTGATGTCATTGGAAAGGAAATGTTGTTTCAGAGGAAAAGCAAGTGGTTACATTCTAAAGATTAGAAAAATAATTCAACTAAATAATTTATTTATC